TGTGTGTGTGTGTGTGTGTGTGTGTGTGTGTGTGTGTGTGTGTGTGTGTGTGTGTGTGTGTGTGTGTGTGTCACATTTTACTGAATGAAGTGTTGAACAAAGATCATTGGGGAGTAATTCATTTAAAAGTCAAACTGTGCTTATGATCCNTAGTGCAGAAGTAGACGCCTTAAACGTCACAGAAATTGGACATTTTAAAAATCGCTGCATACTCATTAGGCCTACTGCTAATTATTGTAATACAATAACTGAATCACTTGTATGCAAAAAAAAAGCAAGTTATTGTATTACAATAATTAGCAGTAGGCCTAATGAGTATGCAGCGATTTTTAAAATGTCCAATTTCTGTGACGTTTAAGGCGTCTACTTCTGCACTAAGTAGGACACTGTTTAATAATATTGTAGCGTGTTCAAGTAACCAAGGGATATAGTAGTTATCAAATAAGTATAAGATGTGCACAGTTATGAGATACGTTTTACAGTTATGTAATGCACTGTTGTTGGGGGGAGGGACCGCCCCTTCCATATGAGTGTGTGTGTACGGCGGGCATGAGGCGTGCATGACGGGACGAGTTGTGTTCGTATGTGGACGCTGGCTTTATTGCTACTGTATCCGTAGCACCCCACGCAATAGTTGGGACTGTGTACTGACGTCAGTAAAAAAGTTTACCCCCCCAAGCGCAAATGTCAAACTCCGCCTATGGTGAGGCCCCCTCCGCAAGGTGAGGCCTCACGCAGTCTGCATGATCGGCCTGTAGAGAGGGACGGCCCTGGGTGACGGTCTGTATGGTGGGTGAATGCATGCATGTGTGTCCATACAGTTTGTATTGATGTGTAAAATGTAGTGAACTTTTTTAGAGGTTACTTTAGAAATAAAGGGACAGCAGGAACACATTTTTAAATCTAATGGAAATTGACAAAACAGTAGAAACAAATCCAGATATTAATTAGTGGTACTACTGTTGTGAAATGGATTGGAACTAAACTGGATTAGAAAATGTTTTGGCTTTTAGTGTTCAAGTCTTACTCTGCTTTGATGTTCAATTGGCAAATACAAATTAAAAAACAGACGCACAAAAAGCTCTTGAGTTTCCTCCGTGGATTCATTGCTCATGGTTGCGAGCCTATGCTGATATTTATGAACTACCACAGCAGAGTAAGTTATGAACACACATCGGGCCAAGACCTTGCTTAGTATTTTCACTCCCTTAATATTTATGCTTCGCTGACAGATTTTCTTTCCCTAATGCTATTTTGCCTGTTTTCCTCTCCTTTAAAATATCTCAACCTGTAATATAGGGCGCCAAAAGAACAGGGTGTCTTATGGGAGAAGTAAAAGAGTTAGTCAAAACAACAGAAATAGTTTGGTAAAAGTTAACAAAAATTAAATATCGTAGCTGTTTTCAGTGGTCAGACTGTTATGTTATATATTTTCTATCTTTAGTTTTGCTCCATGTGTCTGTTCACAAGATATGAATGTGTTCCTGCATCTAGATCTAAGGGGATTTCCCCAAAGCTTCTGAAATCAGCATGCCTGTTTCAAAAGACAGGCTTTTAACTCAATCTGGCTAATGGTGTAATGTTTGATCTCCCTAAGCATTATCACTATTGAAATATTTCAGAAAGGGAGGAATCTCTTCCCACAGGAGCAACTTGAATGTGAATTGAACTGAGGAATATTTCATAATAATGATTTAACAGCTAGCTTAAAGCATCCAAACACGTTCCAGTAAGTACGGTGATTCATCGCTAATGCATTACGCTTTGTTGTTAGCTTACATTTCACCTATGTGGACACATTCATTCCTTCATGATCCCATTGTAAGTGGGCCAAATAGCAGTTGGGGTTTACTGTTTGTTTTCTCCTGCTGAGGCTGACGTGATTTCTGCATCAAGACAATCCATATTTCACTTTAAGTTGAAGTCAGAGAATCACACAGAGGTATACTACATTCGTTTTGGGCAGTTATGCTCTCCTGTCTAAGTTAAAAAACAAACTCAGTGAGTTACGACTGATCATGACACCTGTTGCGCTCAGCTGGACGTCTCATCTGAGGTGAACAAACCTTCAGTCTGGAATAGATTATGATGTTTACTGAGTAGTGCTACGTCACATCTCACTCTCTATTAAAGTTGTATATACAGTATAGTGTATACTATTGAATATAGTGGTGTTCAAAAGTACAAGGCAGTATGATTAACATGGAATCAAGCCCATATATTAAGTATTTATCCACAATAATACAGTAACAGTATTTTCATCACTAACAATCATTTAAACTAGAATTGTTTTTTAATACGTTATCTGAATATGTACTTAAGAACGATTCGTAAGAGAGGTTATATCTGCTGATTAATACCATAGTAAACATTCTCAAAATGTGCTTATATTTGCTTTGTTTCATCGTTTACTGAGAAATGTTTCAGTATTAAATACACATTATGGAGAAATCTATGATATAATTGAACATCAGAGAGAATGAGCAGAACCACCATGAACTTTATTGCATATATTAAACCTGGAACTAACAAAGCTTAAATTATTGCCTATAAAAACAACATTAAACATTAAATAATCAGTTCATTCATTTCTTATGGCTCTATCTGCAGCTTTTCCGGAGTCATTTCTTATGATTACATTTTTCCACAGGCCAACAACAGCTTCAAAAAAAACTATTTCCCTCAAAGAATAAAACAAACATGCCCTGTTGTCCCAAGAAAGAAAGTGCAGAAGGAAACATCCATTAAATTCAGGTTGCTGCTCTGTGATGCTAGTTCAAGCAGATACTTGGCATCTCATCTTGGGTGCAAGTTCATCAATGTTTGGGGTCAGGCTCTGAGCTGAGGAGACCCTCAGGATGGAGTGAAGGTGTGTCGTGCAATATACCGGCGGGCCAGATCTAATAGTAATTAGAAATTATCCTGCGGGCCGAAATTAAATCCACCAAGGGCCTGATTTGGCCCCCGGGCCTTGAGTTTGACACATGTGCAAACCATGCATTTCACTTGTAAATACTAAATAAGTATCATTTTAGTCGGATTTACTTTTCCTNATCTCTCTCTCTCTCTCTCTCTTTCTCTCTCTCTCTCTCTCTCTGTGTGTGTGTGATTTTACTGAATGAAGTGTTGAACAAAGATCATTGGGGAGTAATTCATTTAAAAGTCAAACTGTGCTTATGATCCACACACTGCAGCGGTTACACGTGCTGCAGAGAATTAAGTCCACCAGCAGAGGGCGACCTTGTTCAACACATGCCTGAATGGTACCCAGCTCTCTCGTCGAAGTTTGATTCAAATCAGTAGTTCAGATTTTGGTTTGTTTTAAATATGATTTCACTTTAAGAATATTTTTAAGCAGCTACACATGCTAGACTATCAGTCACTTTAACATGTGTCCAGATGAGATGTGATCTTTTATTGACATGCTCTAAAAGTCAAGTTATTTTCAAATGGATCAGTGTTTTGAGCTTTTAATCTGGTTTTTATAGTATACCACAAATACATGCACTTGAACAAAGTCTCCCAGGGTGTGAGTTAGATATACATCTGCTGCAAGCGTTAAAGCATCCTCATCCACTCATGTCCTCTTTGACCACTGTGACAAACAAACATGTTGTTTATTGTTGTGTCTACTGTTGCCGTGTGTAATTGGAGCATGCCACCTCACTGGTTCCATTCCCAGGTCTTGATTTGTGCAGCAGTTGTGTTTCCCTTCAACCTCTGCGTGAACCTATAAAAATTGGTTTAACATTTTTTGAATCGATTTTGACTCGTAACCTTTGCTAGATGCTATTCTCTCTCCAATCCACTGTTTCAACTGAGGTGGAAATGTAGTCAAATAAATGTCTGCTTGGTCTTTTAAAGAAATACTGTCCTGCTCTGCGTTCAGGTGGAAAAAGCGAGTTAATGTTTACGGCTTAAGAGTGTGTAATAAGTCAGTTGGGAGCGGAGAGCGTCCAGCAGTAAGCTCGCTTTTACTTCACTGTAAAATGAAATGTAACAGGAGACTGCCAAAGCCTGTCTGTGCTCTGTTACCTTGTTCTAGTTAGTGTTTTGTGTGGTACAAATATATTTTCCACCTTTTTTGTTACAGTTTTCTTAAAGTGAAATGTGCATGATCATTCAAAAAACCTTAAACGGTTATTGTAGTGTTTCAAGCAAACCGAAAGAGACATTTTAAAGGACACGGTTCAAGAAATATCTAAAAAAAAAATATGGTTACCCTCTCTTAGCAATACGTTCCTTTAACAACATGTGGTACTGCTAAACCAGAGCAGCAACTCCTTTGAACACTGAGTGATATGTTTCCGTGGCACATACAGTTTAAAAAACTTCTATATTTTTATGGACAAGAAATCAAGAGACGTGCTCCACGGTGGTCACGAGAGTTGGAGTAATAAACTCAATGTACCGCTGTGTTTCTGCATGCCATTGCCGGGTCGCATTGCCTACCTGAAGCTTCTCGTGTATTTGTTTCTTGTCTCTGCAGCAGAAGTTTGTTCGCTGTTCGGTCCGGGCCGAGGTGAGGCACCTACGGAAAGTCCTTTGTCATCGGCTTAACGTGGAAAAAAATCAGGTCAGTCAATACTCACCGTTGATCCGATTAGAAAGGAAAACGAGGCATAAGGCTTCTGAAGGCATTACAATAAAGATGTATTTAGCTTGGGCCAATCTGCACAGATGTGTGAAATGGCTCGATTTGAAACTCTACAAATGCAAACTACAGCTGTTGTGTTATGAGAAGGCTTCGTTGCCAATGTGCATTTTAACACACAGATTGTTGATGACTCCCAGGTCGGTTTGGCGTTATTTGCTAATGTTTTACTCGTAGGATTCATGTGTGGATTCAAAATGTTGCCCCCCTTCCTCTCACTGTTCACAAAAAGTAAGTAGCACTTGTTACGGAAGATGGTTTTCGATTGGTCCACACATTTCTGGTGAACTTACATTGTTACACTCTCATCAGTGCCAGGTTGAGGTATATAACCCATCGGTAACCTTCGGATAACCATAAGATAACCATCGTAACATTACCTATGCTCATTGCTACCAAAGACATTGAAAAATGGGCGACCATTTTGAAGACTACTGGCCCTTTTGTAATCGCGGCCAATCATACTCCTTCAATTGTTGCATGCTATTTCTTGCATAAAACTTGCTAAAAGAGTTCGCTACAAAGCAAAATGGTTTATTACAATATTGTTTTAGCCTTTTTCATTCATCTTGACAATGTGGTTCATTAAACAGACTCACTACAGTAAAGAAACAGTGGAGAGGTCTGGTTGGTTTTTGACCCTCAGACTGTTCTTGTCGTGTTTCTCTTGTAACTCAGCTCTGTAGGGAATGAATGCTCTGTGTGGAGGCTCTTCCATTGGCTTAAATACTCCCTCAAATAACACGTGTGTTCTCAGGATTATGATTGAACCACGCTCGACAAATCTATTCGCTTGCCTTTATGACACTGGTGTGTTTTCAGCGGGGGGGGAAGTAGTTCTGCTTCCTCTCTAACCAGCAGCAAACAGATTCCTCGTATAAAAATAATCACAGCTGTTCCTTTTAGTATTCACTTCACATCTGTTTGTGTGGTCTCCCTATAGGTCCAGATGTTGTTCAATAACGAGTCGCTGCCCGATCACATGACCATGAAACGGTTATGGCTCTCTCACTGGTTTGGCAAGGTACGGTACAGCCGCTGGTTACCAGGCCAACAATGCATTCCTACACACTTTCACCATTGTCTTTGTAATGTATCTCGTTTGAAACATCTGGATAAAGTAAACTGAAGATGGTGGTATCATTTGGAAACAACATAATCATTGTATTCCACTGTAATATTTTCTCCGAATTAAAAATCTGGTTTTTAAACCATGTGACGAAATAGATTCATTTTAACACCTAATTAAGTGATAACAAATAATTTATTGTAATGTTACTCTTTAGAAAATACTAACACACCTCATTTAAAATGTTTCCCTCCCCGGTATAATATCTCAAATCTTCTCTCCCCTAGGCCCAACCATTAGTGCTGCACTACACCATCAAGGACAAAAGGAGCAGATAGGACTTTCACTCTGAGGACAGCTGTACATATTTTGTAGCATACATATTCTATTTTAATAGTGTTTGTGTACATATACTTATTTTCCTTGTTTTGTATTTTTGAAAATAAATTTGAAATGGGAAAATTAATCACTTGTTTTACTTTGGTTACCACACGGCATGCTTTCAAACCCCGACAGATATTATTACATATACTGTTTAAAGGAGCAATGGAGCCATTTGGGACCAACATTCTTATTATTTACCATTTTGACACCTCAGTAGTTTACAATATGTAGGGTGTCTCGCAAACACTTTACAAAGAGCTATGAAATTAGCAGTTGTGGAGAAAACCTATTTTGCTTTCATGAAGTCACAAAGTGTGATACATGCAGTGACTTTCTGGCAAAACTCAGCTACAATAAGTTATTACTAAGCAACGTCAGTCTCTAATATAATGTACACACTTGTAGTTTTGATACGCTAATATTGAGGGGAAATAAGTACAAACTGCCTGCATTGTTACTACCAAATAGAGATGAGTACATCAGTTGTGTTATTTGGAAACTTTTTTGTTAAAGTAACATTTTCCCTGCAACGTTTATTTAAAAAAAAAAAAAACCTATGAAGCATACTAGCTTCACTCAAACACAATGTCATGGTTTTGCATTTACCTTTTTAAAATGTTGATTTAATAAAAGCAACTCCATGTTATTTCTGTCATGGAGTTCTCAAAGTGTTTACCACTTGGTCTCAATCATGACGAAGTGCAACAGGTCACACTAAAGTCAACGTGTAGTAGCTTTTTTTTCTGGCAACGGTTAAAATCCTGAGTTAGTGTGAATATCTGTGAGACTGGCAACGGCCCTTTTCTCAATTCTTCATCAGACATCTCCTTCATCAAGTTTCACTGCGAGTGAAGTTAAGCCCTCGGTCCTACCCCGCCATGTCATTTTGAAGCCGTTCCTGTAAAGCTTTGTCTGTTTGGGGTTAGTGTCTTTCTGAAAAATATGAATCTAATCTACATCTACAATCTCAGGCCTTCTGGTGATGGGGCACTGTTTTGAATACACCACTCGCAAAATATCCCATTTGATCAGATGACTTCACTCTTCCTCCTGCCCTCTGGCGAACACTACCAACAGAGCCATGAAGCTGAAACTGGTGAACCTCAGCAGTATTTTCCGTCTCTCGTCGCCACTGTTGAACTGGAAACGCTCTTCAGTGTTCAGATGTCTTGTAGCACCCTCATCAGGGCTCTCATTCTTCTCAGGTCATACAGTATTTACAGCTGTGCCCTGTTCTCTCCATATTTGTTAATGACCTTACTGTAATCCGAGCGATGTTCCGTGCCTTGGATATCCACTGAATGTTACGGATGTATTTGTAATGTGCTGTGTGTGTTGGGGGTAAGATGCAGGTGTATTTAAGATCACATGTCACACTTACTCAATTTCTTACTGAACAACTTAACCGGTATTTAAGGTTTCTGTTAAGGCAGGGTGGATAACTATTTCTAATCCTTTTTTAATAATTGTTTTCATTTACATATTAAAAAGGACACATAAAAAGAAAACTAATGTCCAGGCATTTTTATATTTTGATCTTTCTTGACTTAAATCCTAAATGGACAGTTGGTGTTAAGAGCTTGGTTTTTCATTCGACAAATTAAACCATAACGGTTTTCCATTGTAATGCTTTATTTGGGCAAACTACAAACTTAAATGGTAATATTTCCCACATTGTTTGTTGATTTTAAACATAATTTGATATTGCCATTGTGTTTCCTTACACATATCTACAAAATAATGACATCCTAGAGTAAACCTGACTTTTTGTCCGTAGCTTCAAAAACGCTGTTAATTGCATTTCCAATAATTCAATTCAATATCATATTTCATTAGACTGAGCACGCCTGGTGAATCCCCAGATTGTTTAACTCCAACCCCCAGTTTATGGCAAGGCTCAGGGTCATTATTTAGACTTCAGATATCTCCCTCCACCTTATACAAATGTTTCCACTGGCACTGCCGTACTCCTTATGGTCAGTGAACTGAAGTCCGTGGACTGAGTGCCCTTACAGCAGCATCACAACATGTGAAAGCAGCTAAGCCAGCTGGCATTTCTTATCATATCTGAAATGTTTATGTGACACGCTAACTGTGTGGTTTTACTGCACATATTAGAAGCTTGCATGCAGAGAAAATATGTGTGATTCAAGAAGTCTGCAGTAAAATACTTGGCTAGGATTTCTACTGCTGTTAAATATTTCTGAAAACGAAAAGTTCTATCCAAACCCATAACGACCTCTTTATCTTTGCACGAAACACCGACCTCCTCTCGCTCTGTTCTGTTCGCTCAGAAGATCCCCCTGTTGAACACTAGGTGGCACACTTGGTGCTCTGCAGACATGAGGAGGGTGGCTTTGAAGTGTGTGATCTTGTCCAGAGTGAAAGCAAAGTCTCCGATAACCTGACACGGGCTGATAATATATACAAGCCTTGTATCTTATTCTGTCTCTACTTTCTAAGTAGGCTGTGCTGCAGCCGCCAGAGCATTTCAGCACGAGCAGCCTCTTGAGTATCACGTTGAGACGTTGCTCTGAAGAACAAAATGACATGAAAGTGCTTTCTGATTTTTGGACATGGGGTAGCATTGTGTTGGCTTGTGAGTCTGTGTGTATCACAGGAAAATAACTTGGTGTTTATGTGTCCTAAAGGTTAAAGGCCTGACATGGAGTTAAGATTTCATTTGAAAAGAGACCATGTGTTCATCAAGGGCAGGGCAGCTTTCACCGCAGAGGTCAATAGCACGGAATAAAGCAGGTGTGGATTAAAGACTCGAGGGATGTTGTCAAAACTGAAGGTGAAATGTCCTAAAGGATCATGGGACAGTATTTGAAATGTTAAGTTTTATTGCCCAGAAGCGGTTTGATTCTTTAAAAGAGGATTTAATATATTTTCTTTTTCCAATAACCTTAATAACATCTTGAAGTTAATTTGAACCTTTTGCCGTTCCAAATCGGGCCCCTGTGGCCATGTTTTCAAATGACGAATACCATTAACTCCCTGTAAACCTGCACACCAGTCATGAAACACACACACACACACACACACACACACACACACACACACACACACACACACACACACACACACACACACACACACACATATATTATGAGTTTCCCCCAGCCACCCTTTTAAAGCCTGAACAAGTCCCTCCAGCGCACTGTATGCTGAAAAAACAATAATCCCCTAAAGCTGTGACCCCTTAGGTGCTCCTGGTGGACCGCTCCGTTAGATTGCTGCTTGTCTTTTTTTGGCGCCCCTAGGCTTTAATTTTTCAGATCATAATACACCTGCATCTAAATGTGGCCCCCAACAAACAGGAGACCCATTGATCACCTGTGTGTTTAATTCAGCTGAGATGTAATGCTTCAAAAATAGTCACTAAATCTGAAAAAGGAAAATAATAATAGCAGACAACTGGATTTTATCAGCACACAGACTAAGGTTGTTATTTATCCTTCAGTTGAAAATGTAAGGCCATCAAAAAGAGTTATTGATAAGGCTATTCAATTAAGAAAATAAAGGAACAATAATAGTAACATTAGCTTTTTAAAAATCACACTTACTAAAGGTTGTTATATATTCTTTAGTTTCAAATGTAATAATTCACCTCAGAATGCCTCATTTAAAATGGTATTGATAGAGCAATTCAATGTACACATTATAATAATAATCGTATTTTCAAATGACTACGGTTATCATTCAGTTAAAACAATATTAATTCACTTCTCAAAAATAGAGTAAATCAATATAAAGATATATCGTGATAATAAAAGGATACACGATTGCCTCAGTATAGGAATGCCACTGAGATAAGTAATACAAATGATTACTTAGGCAACTAAATTACCTTCTGCTAAAATCAATAGATCCCAAATAGTGACGTTATTTTGGTGAATATTTTTGGATCAGGATATTTGTTTTGTGACTTTTACTCAAAGCTCCATCCTCTGTGTTGTTCCTGCTGCCAGAGCAGAGGCTCCATGATAAAAGGCCTGCTTGACTTTTCAACCTCCACGATTCCACACGATTACTTCCATTGTGTGGCAGCCTGCTGTTTCTCTGCCCACCCAAAACAATCTGTCCTAACAAGCCCTTTAGTTTCCTTTAGTCCCCAAATCTGCCTTGATATCTTCCTCTCGTTTTGGACCCGCTTCCCAATGCTTTTTTAGGGGGATAATCCAGAACAGAATTGTAAGGTAACTTGTAGCTAGTAAATATTGCGTTGTTTCAAAAAGCTTAGGAATTAAATAATCCTATTAACAAAAACAAATGTCAACGCCTTGAACATTTAAAACAATATATGTTTTCCTCTAAAATATCCAAATCATCTCCCAAATGATAAATTAAGAATTAAGAAGTCTATAAGAATCCAAAACGAAAGGGCAGGTAAAATAACATTTGTTTTCTCCTTGCTCCTTTCCATCATGGGCTACAAAACAATCTGCACGTTTTGTTCTATATGAGTGGAATCAAACTAATATAATGTTAAACAATGAACTCAGATGGTATAATGACGATTCCAAAAACAAAAACAACATACGAGCCAAACACTTTTAAAACAAATTAACTAATGTTGAACAATACTTAAATAATATTTGTTTTAGAATAAAAATAATGTTATCATTAAATAGCTACGATAACACCACACACACACACACACACACACACACACACACACACACACACACACACACACACACACACACAAACCTCAACACTGTTGCAAATGGTGCGCCAGCAGCAGCAGCAGCAGCACGCCGCGTTTCATTGCCTCCCATTGAGCGTTATTCATTAGGGTCCTCACACTACACCATTTGCTATTCATATGAGACCTTTTCCTCCTCCTCTCTTTCCAAACAAACCCGAGTCCGGAGTGGCAGATGCGTGCAGCCATTATTGGCTCTGTGGAAGCTGTTTTATGTAAGGCAAAGGCGGGTTAACCTAATCAATCATGTCCACTAGTTGTGTTAAAGACGAAGAGAAAGCATATGGCTGAAGCTTTTCTGAACACCGCGGCCAGACCCGGACCGTCTTGTGACAAGATGCATTCACAGGCAGGTCAAAAGAATGGGAATA